GTTCTGATCCGGAAGTGCATCTAATCTAAACTCGGAACGGGGAAATCGCGTTCGAACGAAATCACACAAACAGGAGCGGAGCTAACAACTAGAAAAGGTATTATTTTCCTTTCGTATCGAACTATCTTCGCGAACGAGATCTCGAAATACTTTCTTTAATCACGAATATAGCCAGCTGGAATTACGTCGTCTCCCGACTCCCTTTAAGCCGAATAAAAACCTCCCGATTAAACGTTCCACCCCCGCAGTTCTCGGCTACGTAATGCGCCGCATCCGGTGCATTAAAATTTAAACGCGATCGCAGTTTCGTTCAACGAAATTAAATACGAATCCTATGCAGGCCGTTGTTTAACGACCGTAACGTCGCGGCGGGACCAAGGTTGCGCTTTCTTTCGTTTTATTTTAACTCTAACGTGATATCGTCGCGAACGAAAGCGAACCATCGCCCACGTTTCGTTTCTCCGTAAGAGGGTCGCCGTAATGCAATTACTCGTAACGATAGGTTACTTTCGATACATCGATACGCGTCATCTAGCTAATACCGTTTCAGAAACGGTTCGATAAACGCGTGGATGCTCGGCGAAAATGTAACCGCGAAACGGTCACGATAACAACGATAAATTTCGTGCCACACGATTTTTTAACCTAATGTCGTTCTCCTGAATTTTTCTCTTCAATGATTTAACACAAAATTGCGTAGTATAATCGAAACAAAGACGTCATCAATACATCCGTCGTCAGAAGTTGTATTCGTATTACAGTGATCAGCGTCGCTATTCATGGGCCAGGCCAGCTCGTTCGATATTAATTTATCGAAAGGAGGACGGTCGTGGAATATCATCCTCCGTAGCGACGCCGTGACACAATAGTTACGAAACAATACGATCTATTTCCGGGTGGGTCAACGAGGAGCGAAAAAGTGTCCGTTCGACGTAACGGACGGTGTCGTAAAGTCAGAACTGGTTCGATAAAAAAATTGTGCAACTCGTTCTACTTTAAAGCGACGGTAGAAACATTATCGGGTTGATATACAGGGTCGATCGCGTAACTTTCGTTAATTTCAGTGTTAGTATACACCTTGGATACTTAAATTAGTTACGATAATTCCTTTTCATAAGTTAAACAATTTATTTCCCGACGGCGAAAACATATTGTACGGTTTTTTATTTATGAAAATATACTATAGTAATTCGCAGACCCTCGTCGAAGTCGAATTATCGGAGGCGAGAAAAGTTTGAATCGGATTACCAGCGCCGGAAGTAAACGAGTTGGATCAAGCGACGAGGTCCACCCTATATATAAGCATTCCGGGGTTCAAGGTGGACGTTATGAGAACGGAGCATGGTATTGGCTCTGCCTCGTGCAAAAGGAGTGCTATCGGAGCGGGCTCGGTAGATAAACAACGTTAAAGAAATAAGAATCTACGAGGACGTTCGATCGGATGTTCCTCATCGCGGTAAAAGCGAATTCTTCGAAGCGTTTCGTCGTCCTTTCCGCAGGTTCCCTTTGCGTTTCGCGATCCTGGTAAATGTTAAAGGTGGTCTTTTCCGCCCGGATATATAGCCGTCCATGGGAAGTTTACCACGGCCAAAGTTTATTTACGAATTTATTTTTTTAAACTACCGTTAAATCTAACCGAACCCTCGTTTCCTAGAACTAATTTTCCACTTCCGCGATGCAAAATTTACATGTAAATTTCGTGCCAGGACTTTGTATAATACAGTCGCTGGCTTAGAGAATCCTACTTTTCCGTTTCGTGACACACTTCGCAGCGAGATCCTATAAATCAAGGAGAAATCAGAGATTCAGCCCCTGGGTGAACTTTGAGAAAGTTGAGCTAATGACGCAGCCGTGTAAGCTCGCTGCTAAGAATCTCGTTGCGATCGATGGATTATGAGCGTTACGGGTACCCAGACTCCCTCTGATCCCATAAGCATGGATGCATTTCCTTGGATCTCGTGTTTGTTGATCTCCGTTGTATCTGACCGCCATCGCTAACGATCGATCCGAAATATACTCTTTGCGGTTAGAGGTAAGACGAGATTATCTATCCCGCGATATTCTATCTCCTTTGAAAAGGATTAACGTTTACGTTTACGTTCGATTTTCTCGTCGAAACTTCCAACGCGTTATTTGACTTGCACTTCCAATCCCCGGTACCCTGGATCTCTAATTCTTTCCTGTATCGTCCGAGAGGGCTTAAATTGTCAAATAAAGACGACTCGATGGAGACAACGTTGTCAATAGTTTCCCAACAGAATTAGTTTCAATCCGAGGGGCGATTAAAATCGATTTCAAAGTTCAAACTCGTTCAGAAATCGTACCGAGAGCATCTTCACGTTGATTGCTCGAAACTTATTTTTCTAGCCCCCTTTCCCTTTCTTCCTGCGCTCGTTTCAATTCGAAGAGGGTACATTTGTTTGGTAAGCGTGCTGGCGCGGTTTTTCGAATTGCGAACGAGCCGCGTAATAGCCGACGTCGCGTGCGTTTGCGGTTCTCGTTAGCACGTGTGTGGACTGAAATTAGCGATCCGAAACAAACTGCACTTGCACGTGACACGGTTCGGCACAGCGAAGCTCATTTTACGACCGACCTCGTCCCAAGCACGTGTAAACAGCCTTCGGCGAGAGCTTCCTTCGACTCGACCTCGCAGTAAAAAAGAGAAACTCTCGCGATGGAACGACGGACTCTCGTCGACGGTTCATCCAGACGGATTGCCCGTTCGATATTACTGTCTCGCGAACTGCTTTTCCGATAAGGGATGAACGAAGTGGGTTCTATATTGACCGCTCTCTAGGAACTCGCTGATCCGTCGGAAAATTGAAAGGTCGATTTCCAGAAAATACCAGACCGCAAGAAAGGTAACTCGACGCGCGAAGGAATAATGTATTTTCGCAAATTTAAGTGGTACGCGCGCGGTAGAGTCCGACTCGAGCTCGAGCGCAAGTAGAAAAGTAGATCGCTGGTCGGACGCGTCGGCCAAATCGTACCCGACCAATGTTCCGATTCAATAGATCGTTCCGGCGTGGCGAAATAAACACAGTCTCGTTAGAAAGGTGTACCAAGAGGAAAATGAATACCGGGCTTACGACCGGAATACCATTCCGGTTAGAAACTATGCTGATTGGATGGCAAACGTAGCGGTATCGAGCAATCAGCGCGACCGTCCTCCGCTATTCGGAGGTTTCGGATTTATCGGAAGCCCGAAGAATAATAATTCTCGGAGCAAATATTCCGGAGCCGTTCTCCAAAAACGATCAAACGTTCGCGCGCGATGATTTCCTCGTTGGTTCTTTTGTTATCGAAAAATCTCTGGTTTGCCGGATAGCGTCGGTTTCTTGCACACGACCCGTACACATTTAAATCTCCTTACTTTATTTTATCTTACAATCATTTAGCAGTTACAGAAAATTGATACAGCCGACGATTTCCATGTTTTGTTTCATTAATACGACAATTGACGATCATATAACATCGATTCATCGGTTGCTTGACACGGTTCAATCCCTGTCGAGTAATCTAATTCGTTCGTAATGGCGTTTCGCGTTTAATTTACCATTCGATCGCGAAACCAATCGTTGGGATTTTATCGAGTCAAGCAAGAATCAAGTTTCTTAAATATAACGGATAAAGACTATTTTACTTCGTGATTCCTGATCGTGATGTTAGAATTTTCTCTTCGATGCAGTCTGTTGGTTCGTCGTGTGCGTGTATATATACATATAGAAGTCTCTGGGCGAGATTATCGACGGGACAGCGAGAGCTATGTTCAAAATCAGAAAGAAACGTCAACACAAGGGTTGAAGATGATCGGCAAAGCGAGCGACAATCTCGTCGGAGACGTTCGAATCGACGCTGAAACCTCGCCGCGACGCCCTTTTCGCGAGCAAATATGTACTTTGTCGCGAGCTCGAGGCAAGTTCAGGCGGTTCGAAATCATGGAAGAGGGCATCGAGGAAGTAGGGAAATAAGAAAGAAGGACTTTTCTCCAAAGCGAATCTACACACACTCCCACGCAATTTTTGTACTTTCTCCCAACAGGTGTGTCTCGCGCGAAAGTACTAATTAAAAGTTTCGATCCGTCCATACGGTGAGAATTTGTCTTTGGCACTGCAAACTCAGCATCAATTCGCTTCGCTATTAGTATGCAAGACGCCCCGCTCTAAACGCGTCGGCAACGTCGTCTTCGTCACTGTTTTCCAGATCATCGATTTTCGTGCACAACGATCAAGAACAAACGGTTGAAAGAAGAAAGATAGCGTTGCGTGCAAAAGTTTCCGTAGATCGGCCTTTTCGAACGGGACGCCTCGTATACGAAGCGATTGTTCTCTCGTACTTTCGATCAGGCGTTCGGGTCAAGGTTCATTCCTCGGACAAGAATCGCGCGAAAGCAAAACTCGCGTCTTCGACGTGGATTACGATGTAACGATGTCGCTGCAAGGATTCGTCCTAAAAGTTCAGCTATCTTAACCTGTACGCTGGAACCAATTCCCTTTGGTGTCGCGCACTCGTCAACATAGAAACGTCATCAATTTCTCTGCCAGGTGATCGGAAAAGACCCGCTCTCTGGAGCCATTCATGCCGAAAAGCAACGATGGAGTTATGTGCCACGGTCGTCGTGGGTCAGAGAGCGCTCTGTTTCATTCTTGCACCCCCAACCAAGAGTATTTCGATGTTTTTGGATAGTATTCACAGAACACGGTACTAGGATACGTTCGAACGAAACGTCGGGAACGCGTGGGAAAGTTTGAAAAACTCGACGCACAGCTAGGCGGTTATCTTCCGGAGATCGTGAGGCTCTGCACGCGGGGGCATGAATAATTCCCTGTCTCGTTTGAGAGATACGGTTCTCCCCTGGTCCAATCCCGATGAGTCTCGAGCTCGTTGATCACCGCGACGAAGAAAGAGAGAACTCGTCTCGCAATCCGACGGGACGATTCAAGAGGCCATTCTTAGCCCGTCGTTTTCGTTTCGTTGGATCGTAATTCTCGATCGAGACTTTATACCTGCGTGAGCAAGGTCAGCTGAGCACCGTTCTTCAACGAATCCCTGTCCCTCTGCGCCTGATCCTTGGCGTCGTTCCCTATGGTGATGTTCGACCGTGACGTCATGGTCACCGTCGTCGTGGACGTCTTGCTGATCAACAGTCCCCTTTCGACGTCCTCGTCCTCCAGCTCCAGCTTGGATTGCCCGGACACGACCAGTCGGTTCGATTGAAGCCTATCGGCGCTCGCCTTGTTTCTGCGCGGGAACACGCTGTTCTCGATGTGCAGCGTCGCGTTCACGTCCTTCCCGGCGGCGCACGTGCACGCCTTCAGGAAACTCTTCTTGAAATTGTCGCTGAGGAACGCGTAAAGGATCGGGTTCATCGCGCTGTTGCTGTAGCTGAGGAACCCGGCCAGCAGGAAGCTGGTGATCGTGATCTTGCTCTGGCATTGCTTGGGCGGCGTGTAGATCAGAGCCACCTGGGTCAGCCAGTAGGGTAGCCAACACAGGACGTAGACGGTGATCACGGTCAGCACCAGTTTGGTCACCTTGCGATGGGACCGTTTCTTCTCCTTCGACTTGTTCTTTGGTCCCACCGTTTGCAGCTTCCTGATCACCAGAAAGTAGAAGATCAGAATGAGCACCAGCGGTATGGCGAAGCCCAGAATGAAGGTGTAGAGGGTGAAGGTGGTGTGACCGCCGCGTTCGTCGGGCCAGTAGATGTTGCAGTTGCAGATGCCCTTGTTGGTCTCCATCGCGTTCGCGTAAAGGAATATCGGGATCATGAAGAGTACGCTGGTAGCCCAGGCGGTCAGCGAGACGATCTTCGAGATGAACGGCGTGCGTAACTTTGGGGAGGAGATCGGGTGGCAGACGGCAATATAACGATCCGCGCTCATGATGAACAGAAAAATACTGCTGGTGAACTGGTTGATGCTGGTGGTGGTCATGTAAGCCTTGCACATGATCTTCCCGAAGATCCAACTGCGTAGGCTCATCGTGGTGACCAGGAACGGTATCCCTATGAGGAAACACTCGTCGGCGATCGCCAGGTTCACGATGTACATGTTCGTAACCGTTTGCATCTTGGAGAACCGCAGCACCACGTAGATCACCAGAGTGTTCCCGAGGAGACCGACGATACAGACGATGGAGTAGAGGATCTGATTGACCAGCGATACGATCGGCAGGTCCGCCTCGCAGTTCTGGATCATCGAGTCGTCCGGGCTTGCCTTCCGCGCGTAATCGATTACGCTGGTGGTGCTCATTATCGTGGTGTTCATCTTGATCGAGTATCTCGCGTTCTCGTAAAATTGGAAGACACGTACGTTTCGGCCGGTGCCGTAGCTTTACTTTCACGGACCTCCGAATACCGGCGCTTCGAAACGCTCGACGTAATCCGAGTCTCAATCACTCAGCGAAGAAAGATCGTCGCGATCCTGTAATTTCTTCCTTCCGTTCTCCTCTAAATTTTCTCCCTCGTCGGTCACCGGTATTCCTCGATCGAGATAGGACGTTTCGATCGCGTCGGTTAAACGCGCGTCCTTCGTATTCTGGCGAGAAGCGCCGGAGACGCGAGAGATCGCTGCGTCGACGATGACGATGCGGGGGATGGGGCTGACGTCATTCCGTCAGGCATCAAACGATCGTGCTTCCGCGACCGTGATAATCCAGAAAGGGCAGGTTACCAGGAATTGGCCCCTTTTTCACGCCAGATGCCTGGAACAAAAGAGAAGATGGTTTTCAAACCTTGCAATCCGGAGCATCCGATAGTCGATTCAAAGACGATCGCGCGTTCAAAGGAACTTGCTTGTCCGACCGGTTCAAACGTACTCTTTTACGGGGCAACGAGGGCCATTAACTCGATTGCCGCGCAGATTATATCTTCGCAATCGGACGCTCGGCATCCATTAAACGCTAGCTTTAGCCTAGTTCCGCGAACGCCATAGATCTTCGATCGAGGATGCACGAGCGCCGTTTGCGATTGGCTTGCCGTTGGATTTCGAGATTTACGAGGCTCTAACGTCCAAATGTTAATTTCCACGGTATCCCGTACCCGAGATTCGAGGACGGCGAATTTCAGCTGGAAAATCTTGTAAAAATTAACTACGTAACTTGAAAAATTTTATCTTCAAAGATACCGATGGTCGAGTTTCACCGAATTGCCCCCATAAACAACTCGAATGCACTACTACCGAGTACAGGAATGCAACCAGCGAAAACGAAAGAGACGGATTACCGTTAAATAAATGGTCTCGGACGGCGGATAACATATTTCCCGTACTTCCAAAGGAAGAGCTACTGTCTCGGGTTATAAATCTAGACGATTTGATGCGCGAAAACATGTTCCAGCGGCGTTACTTTAACACCGAAAAATGGAACTTTAATAACCAAAGCGTTTGATCGAAGTTCCTCGGGGTTTTTGCGGAGTAAACTGGAAACCTTGCATCGTGCCGGTCAACAGCTTGAGAATGCAAGGCGTGGCGAACAAAGGGACACGCGGAGACGGGAAGGCAAGATTGCAGGGCGAAACCGTTACTGGTTGAGCCCTGTTGACACGCGAAATCCGCCCGGGCGTGTAGGATGTTGCACCGTTTCGGCCAAACCGCAAGCTCCTCGCCATGGCCGCGTCGATGAATCGGACACGGTTTTCGAGTTGAGAAACTCGGGAACTCGGGCCCCAGGCAGAACGACGTAAAACTGTGCGGACGGTCTCTGCGGTGAACGTAAACCGAACGTTTATAGGGCTCGACGGAAAGAACGCAAACGACTCCCCGTAGACCGAAACGAACTACTTCTGTGGGATCTTGTTGCGTGGGCGTTTGCATTGTGTGTAACTTATACTCGACCGTCCTTTTTATTATACACGAAACTCGTTTACCTTTACACTTTCGAAATCACAGTAACTGCAATCGTTACAAATTTAATTACAAAATAACGTAACAATGATTATCGGTTTTAATCGGCTGCAATTTTCCGAAAATAGTACAGTACATCGTGCTTAAATGATACCATCGATCATTTTAAAACGGATTATTAATGAACGTGACAAAATTTGCAATTCTATTATGTATCGAATATTGAAAATCAATTGGAAAATTGTCACCGGAGGGGTTGGTCTTTTGGTACCGTCCATTTTATTTCACTCGGTGACCAAAACAGTGGCTCGAAAACTTAACCATGGAAGTGATAAAGGAAAGTGGCTCCTTTCTACGTAAAAAGTTTAATTCATCGTTTCGTCGCGATCGCAATTTTTGATTCGAGAAATGTTCAAATCGCTTAAAAATCGATCGCTCGATTCACTGTATTCGTGTTTATGTTCGAGCAATGAATTAAGTTAACGCGACAGCCGGAAGATTTATCGACTCGCGTCTACAGCTTCCGCAAACATAGCTCGTTAACTTCCGTTTGCGAACGGCGGATGCAACGAACGAGCGTCGCATGAGAAAACTCGCGAAGCGTCGCGGAGTAATGAACGTCCGGTCGATCGCCATTATCGAGGCAGTCGTCTACAGCAGCGGTAATTAGCCGCTAAGCGATCGTCTTAACGTATCAGCAACGAATCTTCTTACGAAATTTTTTGTTCCTTCCTTCGTGATAACTCCTCTTCTTCTATACATTGAATCCGAGAAAATTGCAGGGGGATATATAGGACTCTCCGATGAGAAAATCAGTTCGGATCAGAACAAATTAGTGTCCTTGATTTTCGTCTCATTGTGGCCTCTACGATCTCCAATTAATATTTTTCCCAGGGGTGGCCGAACGCCCTGTAGAGAAGATGTCATTAGGAGATTTCTCTGTAAGATCATTAATTATCAGTGTTTGGCTGGAATCCAGCGTTCGATAGCAACACGTGGAATTGCTGTATTAAATCCAGAGTTCGAGTCGAGTGTCGGTAGCAGCGAATCTCTGTGTTATTTCTGGGCCTGGTGGCTCCATGCTCCTCTCTTTTGCTTGCGAAGCATCTTCTCTTACGAGAGTTCCATTAAGCGTACAAGGTTTTCACATTAACACAGAGTTTCTCTTGCAAAGGGTTGCGAGAACTTCTTTGTCTAGGCGAATTAAGATTCATTGCTCGACAGTGAATGCTCAAATTAATGGCGTAGCATTTGAATGCGCGATATGTATACTCGGTTCTCCTGCCGGAATTCTGTTTGGTACGGAAAGGTGGAAAAAGACTGCAAAATTACACAATTCTGCATTATCGCTGGTAAAGCTACGTTACCGTCAATCATAACGAGACAGCCCCAAAGGTAAAATATTTTCAATGCTCGTGCAGAAACATGGCACGAAAAATTAGATACCTCGTGCCCGTGTGAGATAAAGTTTCACTAAAGTTAAATAAAATACGGTGTTCTGAATTCATACAATATATTTGAAACGAACATTCCGATCGCGGTGCAAAATATAAATAACCGTTAATCATTTCTACGGGCTGACACCCGCGCGAAAAGTTACCAAGAGATAATAACGTTCTCGTTCAGTTTTCAACTGAGCTTCTGACGACGTGTAGGCAGAAAGAAACGTTCCGGTTGAAGTTCGTAATAAACTCGTTCCCCGAAGGCGGTCTCCTGTTTATTATTCGCAGCGACATTAATTTAATACGCACACCGCGCAGCAAAGGGCCGAAAACGGACGATTACGCGCAGGTTTGCTAATAAATTCCACTCCCTTTACAATATCCCGGTAACGCGTACGCACACGTGTGGTTCACGTATACGTATGTATGTACACCGCGTCCCGTTTAATAGGATACTAGGCGCGTGTCTGACTTATGAACGTCCGTTACTACTGAGACCGTCTCCGCTTATTGCGGTTCCAGATTGCGAATCGCCCAGGCAGCAGTTATCCTTTGAATCGAGAAGGCTATTCGAGCTTTAGAAAACGCTACGTAAGCAGGTGAGTACGCGGTGCTTCGGTTCCACGATTACCTGGATTTCTTTCCTATTCCCGGCGAGCCCCTCCGCGCTATCATCTTTCCCTTGGATTTCATAATTCTTTTAATTTTCGTACATTGCCAGGTTCATCGTAATATTTTAACGAGGAGGAGTACAAACGCTACGTTGAGACGTTTAATAAAAATAATTATACCGACGCTCGCATCGGGCCGCATTATTATTTTTAATTGGATTAAATTTTTCAAGTCGGTACTCGGTCGTACCGAGAAGCATTTTGGCTAAAGAAACACGAATAGTCGGCGGGATATTAAAAGATAATTGTCCTATTCTTTCTGGCGGGAAAATACGTGGCGAAGGAGCGTGTAATCGTGGCGATGCGTCGCCGGGGGGAAAAAATAATTTAAGGAAGTAACGACTCGGGAAGCGTGGAGCGGCAAAGACGAAGGTGTCAGCGGTTCCCGGCACCTGCGACCGCGGAAAATTATAAGAAACGCGAGCCGGTTACGGCGCCGTAGACTGCTCGAAGCTGCAAAAATTTGCATCGCAGCCGACGTTACGTCAACAACCATGAGACCACCCCCCGCCCGGCGGCGTGGCTGTTTTTCGTTTTGCGTTTTCATCGATCGTTTCCATCGCGCGAGAAAGAAAATGGCAACTGGCGAACGAAGGACGGAAACGAGGCCGCCGAAGGAAATAACGCGAGTTATAAGGTGCGAGCGGAAGAGAGAGAAAGTACGCGGGTGTCTCGGGAGGGATAGAGAGGCGACAGGAGAAATTAATTACCTTCTCGCCCCGACATCGAGTCGGCACTAAAAGTAGAAACTCAATCAAGCTAATATAAGCTGCCTCGCTGTCGACGCATTCTGGTACACAATCCTTGAGCGACCCGAACCAGATAGAAAGGTTCCTTCCTTCCCGTCGCCGTGGAACTTCCGATTGATTGTAAATCTGTCGCGATAAACTCCAGCGGATGAAGGACGGAATAAAATCTGTCGTTTGCATATCGATCCTGGATACGCGCTCGTAACGGCTGATAAAAACGTCTTCGTATTCTGGATCCAGCGATCCGACCGATGGAAATCGGAATCGGTCTTCCGACGAACACCGAACGGTAAATTGAAGAGTGTATTGCGGGAGTAATACAAGGAAAAGATAGTGGAGGTATAAAACGGAAATGAATTTCTTCGTTTATTTAGATGCAAGAATTTTAAACCTCCGTAACCGGAAAAAGAACGCCTTTAAAAGAAATTTTAACCCGAAACTTGGTTTTTGTGCAATCTGTTTACACGGGGCCTGTGGACCGACCCCTTGAAAGCGTCAATTTCGAATTCAATTTAGAAATTCGAACAGTTTCGCTTGCTCCCGACCAAGTTTCGTCGGGAAAA